AGCATCAAAGTATAACTCCTCTTCCCATACTGCAAGCCCAGGAAATGTAGGACAGCTGCCAATCTTCCAGGACAAAACAGGTATTGTTCTACTAGGCATGTGGCAGGTAAGAAGGGGCACCTAAACCACTGGAATAAAACAGAAGAAAAACAAACTGTTTAGTCAGCCAGGGATCTTCAAGAATTTGTATCCATCACAAAAAGAGAAATAACCTATGCAGCATCGCTACCCCAAGTTTAGGGTTCAACCCAGATGACTAATGCTGGTGGTGAAGCCTAACCTTCCCACAGACATATTTTTCACTCCTATAGCCATTCCCTTCAGCACTTGTGTAAGGAGAAGCTGCTGATGGCTCCAACTTTAAAAAGGTGCTAGAAGTGCTACCGGGAATTACAGATCCGTGAGCCTCCCTTCTGTACTTGATTAAACTGTTTGAAATGAACATTTAAAAACACAAATATAAACTCTTGGATGAACATCCTAGGGAAACAATGGGCACAGCTTCTGTTGTGGAAATTCCTGCCTCTCTAATCTACTAGAATTCTTTGACCATGTCCACAAGAGGGAGGATGAAGAAGAATGGGGTTGACATGGTTCAATCTTTCAAAAAGCCTTTAACAAAGTCACTAATAAGAAGCTATCAAGACAACTCATCAGTTAAGGGGTGAGAAGCTAGAGTGTTGTCATAGATTAGAAACTAGCTGATGGATAGAAAGCAGTAGGGATAAATGGTCCATTTTCAAAAAGGAAATAAAAGGGTTCCCGCCTCCCTCCATGTGCTGTTTTGGAGGCAATGACCAGTATTTATTTAGGATATGACAAAGGGGTGAACAGCAAGATGGTAACTTTTGCAAAAGGCAAAATTATATAGATTAGTCAAGACTGAAGAAGTTTATGAGGGACTTCAAAGGGACCTAACAAAGCTAGGCGTGTGGGCAATGCGGTGACCAATGAAACTCAATGTTGACTAATGCACATTGTCCAAGTCCATTTCCTGGGTTCTGAAAAAAGCACTGCCACTGAGGCAGAGACCTGAGCCCCACTATGACAAAAAGCTCTGCTCAAACGCAGCAGCCATCAAAACAGTGGGCAAAGTTTTAACATAGCTAAAAAGTACACTAGAAAATAAACTGATGATACAGCCTATCCTGGGGGACTGTTCAGTTCTGGTTACTAGAGCTCAAAGATCTAGCAGACACAGAAGGCATGAAGGAGACAGATAACAAAAGTTACTAGAAACATGGATAGTTTTGTATGAAGACAGACTGAAAAGACGGGGACTGTTTAGAGAAGAGGCCACCCATAAAATAATGGATGGTATAGAGAAAACAAGCACTCCTATTTACACTAATAAGTAAGAACACATGATCAGGGGCCATTCAATGAAAGTGAAAGGCATACATTTTAAACCAATACAAGGAAATTATGTATTGTGTAGCATCAAAATTAATATGTGGAACGCATTGCCAGCACATTGCATTGAGGTCAAGAGCTTAGCTGAATTAAATGAAGTATTAGACATTTCCGTGGGAAGTGGGGAAAGTCACCTTAGCCAGGAGTCAAAAAAAAAGTTATAATCTTTTGAACTACCACTCCTTAAACAGTCATAACCACCCCCTTCAGACATAAACTACCCACTAACTGGGTACAAGGGTCAGGCACAAGCTTCCCTAAGGGGAGGTTATTCAACTAATTGCCCAGCACAGAGTTTTTTGCACCTTCCTCTGAAGCCTCTGATACTGGCTGCTCCTGGACACAGGAGACTGGACTAGACCACCGGTCTGATCCAGCCAGGCCATTCCATTACTCCCCTGTGACAAGGTACATTAAGTCAATGTGGAATTATACGCCAAATTAACTAGCAAGAGAGCTGTTCTGAAACAGGCAGGTCAGGAGAATTAAGAACAGTATTTACAGACTTGACTTGTTTCTGGGTACTGGTAAGGAGCGTGGAAAATGAATGAGATGATGTACAAGTGATACCCCTTCATTCATTCTGCCTTACGTAGCATCCCAGGGACTTATTGAAGGCCTCTCACAACTTCAATGGTGACTGTGAAGACCAGGAGAAACAGCAATGTGAACGCGGTAGGCTCAAAGAGGAGACACTGGCCTGTGTCTGTTAAATGGTAACTTATTACGTGGGTCACCTGCATCAACCCTGTCTGCCAGCTCAGCTAAATACAGAGAGTTTTGTTCCCTTCACAAGAAAAACTCTGCCTGGTGGGATTCTGGGCACAGCTGGTCAGCTCAGCAAGGCTGTAAAGGACAGGTGTCAGCAGCTAGAGAAGCAGAAACTCCACGTGAGCTGAGAACAGTGTCTTTGGTCTGCCCCAAGTAAAAGCCAAGCCACAGTGTGCTCCCCAGTCAGTTACTGTCACTGCTGTTATGGAAATCAGTGGCAGAACTCACTCCACTGTAAACACCAGAATTCTAGGAAATATTCACCCCCCATTCCCTAGGGCCTCCCCTCCCTGCAACATGTAATTTAAATTGAGGGAGGAAGCAAGCTGATCTGTCTGATGGGGATTTTCTGCCAGCAGTTGTGGGACAGCAAACCCACAAGGAGTCACACACCCCATTCTACACAGGTCAGGCCTGGTGGTACAGGCCACATGGTTACAGTACTGTGGATGCACTTCATATATATGGCACTGCAGACACTCAGCCCTTAACGGGGCACTGACAAATCAGATCTGACTCAAAGTCAAGTTCTGTACAAAGTCCCATCCCTCAACCAACACAGTTTAACAATCCCAGCAAAAACTTGTTTGAAACATTCTGCCCCTATAGTATTCACAACCCAACCACCATGCAAACAGCGGAGAGAGTGAGAGAGAACTATTCAGTTTAATGTAAGTGAGGAAATCTGCTAGATTTTTAACCTGGTAGGTTCCCTTTAAACTAAGGTCGCTCAGTGGAGCTAAGGCAAATGTGGTATACAGTTGCCGCCTATCAAACCTAAAACACGTGTCTGGAACCCCACCACTATGTGCCTTGAGGTTTACTATTGTAACATAGTGTTCATGCACTGTAACACTAGCGACACTTGTCTTGTTAATTCACCCACTATGTGCGTAAGCCCTGTGTCAGTCACCTATTCTTGCACAGCTATTGTACACTGGTAGTATATTTACATGCAATGTGTGCAGACACCCTCCCATGCGTGATGGCAGCGGGTGCATGCATGTGAGCCCCGAAAATGCATACCCTCCAAAGTGACACTGAACCCAAAGCATGCACAGCTAGCACAAGAACCACTGGTCCCATCCTCTAGCATTACGCTGAAGGCGTGGATATTTGGCACCATCTTCAACCCCTTGGTCAGGTATTATTGCTTACCATCTGTAGTTCTAATTTGTCCTCTCGCTCCTGGCTCTGCTGTGTGCAGCTAGAACTACAGGTACACTGAGAACTCCTGTCTGTCTTCATTTGCTTCCACCTACTCAAAAAGCATAAGTTGTCTCCAATAAATAAATATACTAGGATTTTCTTATATTGGTCACCCACCCCAGGGTGGAAGAAACAGAAAACAAGGAAGAGTCTTGGTGAGTATCACAACCCATCTTTTCTCTTAAGATCACATTAATTCTATTCATAATGAGACCATAGGCCAGATCCGTAGTGTGTAGCTACTTCAATACAGCTACATCAATTTATACCAACTGGCCTGATTCCTGAGGGGGATGAAAAGGGTCATGCTGCAAAAACAAGCCCAGTGGGTAAGGGACTGGGCTAGGCTAGGCTGCAGGAGACATCAGTTCAAGTCCCTGGTCTGCTACGGATTTCCTGTCACTAAGTCTCTGTTTTCTTTCCCCCATGGGGATAACAGGCTCTCCCTACCTCACAGGGGTAAATACACTAAACACTGTGAGGTGCTAAGGGGATGGGGGTTTACCTCAGGTAGATAGAGGTATTGCCAAATCATGACCCAAACATTTGAGAGTGGCTTTAACAATAGATTGAGTGGGAAGTTGTTTACCTTCTGGGTTTTCAGCCTTTGGTGGTCACATTTTCAAGCTTCCCTTTGCAACCATGATGGCTAGATACTTTTGGGTTTTTTTAAATAAGGACAGACTCTCATGTGATCATCTGACTCCAGGAGCTGGAGCTTTAAGAAAAAACAACAAATATTGCCAGCTCTTGCAATTTTATCACGAGTCTCACAACACTGAGAGAATTTGGAGCATATGGGGTCAGGGGAGCACATGTGGAAGGCTGGGAATCTCCTAGCAGGGATAGAGATGTTCCCAGGGACAATATGGGAGTGGAGCTCATATTCAAAAGAGAGCAAGTCCCTCATGGGGATATGGAAAGGGAGAAAAAAACCTCTTGAGGGGGTGGGGGGGGGGAAAGAGGAGAACATGTGCAGCCTCCTCATCCTGCTCCTCCCAACCCAGTCCTGCTGTCCAAGAGGTAGGATCTGAGAAGTGGCTACAAGCAATCCGCTACAAAGATCCCTGCAGCAAAGCCTGGTGGCATTTCTCATGAATCTCATCTTCTCTTGCAGTGCCATCAAAGGACTGGTCTACACTAGAGCATTAGATAGACCCAACTACGTTGCTGAACTATGTGAAAAATGCACATCCAAGTGATGTAGTTAAGCCGACCTATGTCCCTGTGTAGACAGCGCTACCGCCTCTTGGGAAGGTGGATTCCTACGGCGATGGGAGAACCCCTTCCATCGGTGTATGTAGTGTCTACACAGAAGTGGTGCAACAGTGCTGCTATAGCATTCCAAGTGTAGACAAGCCCAAAATGTGTGAACATGCAAAAGTTGTAGGTGATACTGACAGAGCCATCCCCCCATCTGGGAGCAGAGGGACATGTATGATTTTTCTACAGGATTCTGATAGCTACAGGAGCAGAGCAGTCTGTCTTGCCAGCTCATATCCACTTCCCTGCTTCAGAGATTAGGGACTACGATGAGAGCAAAGACTTCCAAGAGACAGGCATAATTATTTCCCCCGGTGGTTAAGTCTCTTCTCAGTGTTCAAGGACAAAACAAGTCTCTGCCAGGTACACACAGAAGCAGCAGCCCCCGTGGAGGTAGAAGGAAGCTACATTTCCCAAGTGTGGGCCAAAGTTTTAATTCTGTAGGGGCAAGAGGGATTAAATGATGAAGATCTCAGAGCTCAGGGACTTGCATTATAGCTTGGTCACTTTCTTGATCCAGGGCACAAACTTGCTGACCTTAGTGTAAACTCCAGGGGAGTCCTTCCGGCCACACCCATAACCCCAGGAAATGATCCCCAGAATGACCCAGTGTCCAGTTGACCTCTGACACATGAGTGGCCCACCGCTGTCACCCTGGCAGCTATCCACCCGCTTATCTTCAGAGAGGTTTCCAGCACAGATCATGTGGTTAGTAAACTTGCCCCCGTAACGAGCCTCACAATCTTCTCTTGGGAGAAGGGGCACCATGCCCTGGAGCAATGTTCTTGAATAGGACTTCCCTGAAACAGAACAGAACAGCACAACTCACCACTCAGGCTATGTCTATACTACAGGCCTTACAACAGCACAGCTGTACTGCTGCAGCTGCACCACTGTAAGGTCTCTCGTGTAGCCGCTCCATGCCGGTGGGAGAAAGCTCTCTGGCCGGCGTAATTAAACCACCCCTAACGAGCAGCTGTAGTTCTCCTGCCGATGTAGTATCTCTTGTCGACATAGTGCTGTCCTCACCAGCGCTTCTGTCACTGAAACTTATGTCGGTCTCTGCTGCTCACAGCTCCAAAGGAGACCCCAGAAGAAGAGAACACAAAATGGCACTGGGCACAGAAAGAGAGTAAGAGAATCAGGGACACTGCCTTGAATTGTATCGAGAAATAAATTAGTAGCCAGTGCAGACTACTGAATACAGGTGTTCTAGGTGAGCATGCTGCCTCCATCTCAGCGCATCCATTCTGTTCAGGTTCTTATACTGCACCATGGTATCTGGCCATCCCTTCAACCATTCTATTGTCTGGGCTTCTTCCTCACAAGTCCTTTCACATGGGAATATCCCAGCATTTGAGCCCCCGCTCCCTTGAGGCTGTTCCCATGAGCACCATCCACCTCTGACCAGGGCCGGCTCTAGGTTTTTTGCTGCCCCAAGCAAAAAAAATTTTGGCTGCCCCCCCACTGCACCCTCCTGACGCCCCAGCCCTGGGTCACTGGTAACTCGCTCCCAGGGCGGGTCATTCAGCAGGAATTTTGGATGTGCACAGAACACAGACAGGATTGGCTCCCATATGGTTACAGAACTGCAGTAAAGTGGAATAAGACTGTCCTATATAAATGAGGAAAAGTTGAGGTGCCTTTATTATTCTTTTGTTCCATTCTTTGTTTCTATGGGGAATTTGCCAATGCAATATCACTGTCTTCCTTTTAAACAAATAAAACTAAAACTTAAAATAATAATAATAATAATAATAATAATAATAATAATAATAAAAAAAAGCAATGGCTGTTGAAAATAGCAATTCCAGTCCTAATAACCACTGGGAAGCATTTCTTGCTCAATTTATTCTACTTTTTCTACAGCAAGTTACAGTGGATCAGTATATTTGATTTGGGAGAAATGAAGTAACAGCTGCCCAAATTGAGCTTGAGCACTCCTGAATTTTGAGGGTGTTCAAATCTGGAAGGCAGGTGCTGGATTCCCTTTCTGAAATATATTAGCTAAATCTGGAAAAGAAAAGTCAATTTCTGCTTCCATGGCTCAGAAGTGTAAATCCTCCTACGTGCCTGGTACTGTATCTAAAACTGCCCAGTCTAGTAGAGCCTGCCCTCCCTTACTTTTCATTTTAAATTCTAGTGGGATCCACGTACCTGCCTTGCTAGGCTTCAGATAGAGAGGTGCAATGTCCATTTAGTCCACCCAATTCTTTCTTTGGGGGAGAGCCCAGAGCTGGGGCAGCAGGGAGTGCGGGTGCGGGGGGGAAGAAGAGCCCAGGGCTGGGGCGGCAGGAGATGCGGGTGGGGGGAGAGCCCAGGGCT